CAGACCTAGAGTCCTTCTCTCTAAAACCTCTCTCTAAGTTCCCCTTCTTTCTCCTCAAATATATCACTAAGTTTCTCTGGCATTGTTTGATGTTGTGGAATTGATTCTCTAAAACAGGTTTGCTGGGAGAAATTTGCCAGGTACTTTGAGGTGGAGTTAAAGGAAGTTAATTTGCGTGATGGATACTATGTGATGGACCCTGAAAAGGCCGTGGAATTGGTGGATGAGAACACTATTTGTGTTGCTGCTATCCTTGGTTCTACGCTAAATGGAGAGTTTGAAGATGTCAAACGCTTGAATGATCTCCTGGTTGAAAAGAATAAGCAAACTGGGTATCTCTCTCTTTCTCTTCCCCTCCCTCCTCTTAAATACTCCATACTTTGTACACCAAATATTTTAGACTTTTGAGGCCGTATGCGTTGACATGTGAAATTCTTTGGTAGATGGAAGACTCCTATTCATGTGGATGCAGCTAGTGGTGGGTTCATTGCACCATTTATTTATCCAGAGCTTGAGTGGGACTTTCGGTTACCGCTGGTGAAGAGCATCAATGTTAGTGGGCACAAGTATGGTCTGGTCTATGCTGGAATCGGTTGGGTTATTTGGAGAAGCAAGGAAGACTTGCCTGAGGAACTTATCTTCCATATCAACTATCTCGGTGCTGATCAACCCACCTTTACCCTTAACTTCTCTAAAGGTAACACATGATTGAATTACTCAGTTCCAAGTACTACTAATGAAATAGCCCAATTTACTTGCACTTTCTACCACTTCCATTCACTAATGTATGCACGAGTTACTCACTGTTTTACAAGATATACATTGCAGGGTCTAGCCAAGTCATTGCTCAATACTACCAACTAGTTCGCCTTGGCTATGAGGTAATAAGACCAACCAACAGATTCATAGTGCTTGTTATAACTCGATGATGATGTGTTGAGATTTATTTTCATTAAATGGGATTGCAGGGATATAGAAACGTGATGGAAAATTGTAGAGACAACATGATAGTGCTGAAAGAGGGACTCGAGAAAACAGGGCGGTTTGACATTGTGTCGAAAGAGAATGGTGTGCCTTTGGTGGCTTTCACATTGAAAGACCACACCCACTTTGATGAGTTCCAAATCTCTGATCTGCTGAGGCGCTTTGGGTGGATAGTGCCAGCATACACCATGCCCCCAGATGCTCAACATGTCACCGTGCTACGTGTTGTCATCAGGGAGGACTTCTCAAGAACCCTCGCAGAGCGTCTTGTGGCTGATGTGGAGAAGGTGCTGCATGAGCTTGATTCACTTCCAGCAAGGGTGATAAGTAGCACCTCTGTCACAGTCAATACAGAACAAAATGGCAAGGTGGTGGTTGCCAAGAAGAGTGCTCTAGAGACACAGAGGGAAATCACTGCGATTTGGAAGAAGTTAGTGTTGGAGAGGAAGAAGCTGAATGACAAGATGATGGTGTGTGTTAGACTTAGCTTTGATTGAAACAAGGGTGTGGTGTGCCTATGCTTGCCTTAGTTTTTAATATATGATATTTTGGGCAGTAAGTACTTTTGTTTGAGTCAAGCCATTTCTCTGATTTAGCTGTTCATTGATGAGAGCAAAAATTCAGGACGTGATTATTTGTATCATTATGATTTATGAATATGATTCTCAAAAGACTAATCAAATCAAGTACTCTTTCCTGTTAAATATTTTTTAAATCTTTTATAGGTGATATGAGACTCGAGTATTTTTAATATAAAATATTAAAATTATTGCATTTAATAGAATATGATTAAATTATTTTTTTAGTTCCTTCATTTATTTAATTTATCTTAATATTTTAAAGGGATTTAATGTGATCATTTTTGTCTGATTAAAACTAACATCTTTAACTTTTTTATATATGTAGTACAATATATAAAATTACGTATACAATATTTAATGTTGTTAGTCTCCATGGATGAAAAACACAACATTGTATCATTTTAGAAAATAAGTTTAAATTTTTAGTTATTAAGAAAACAATTTGAAAAATTAAATAAAATTAAAAAAAAACTAAAATAAATTAATATTAAATATTCAACAAATATCCTTTAAAGAATCATACCGACCATCCACGTGACTGAAAATGAAATAGAGTATTAAGAATCCGTATCCTACGAAATTGTGGACAGGAATGCGATGCACAAGAGCAGTGCTTTTCATATATTTTCTATCCGAACTTGAAAATTTTGAAATTGTGGACATAAATATCATCATATATGCACGTGGGCTAAAATAAAATTCTGGTTTATTATTTCAATTTTTTAAGTTTAATCATCAAAGTTTTAAAAGTTTCATTAGAGTGTTTTAAACCAATTTTTTTATCAACTAAATGTTTCCATCAATTTATATGACTAATTTAATTAATATAATGATAAATGTTAAGGTGTGAGAATGTAAAATCTAGCAATAATGACAATATGATCTCGTAGGAGTGAATAGTAAGCTTCCTGTCCCAATCTTTACTTCATATTTACAAGACTATCCTTTAAGTGGGTAACGAATTTTATAAATACTCATGCATATTATAAAAATTTGTGAATTTTATTTAACAAATTAAAAAGTAAAAAAAGTAATAAAAATAACTGTAAATTTGTATTTGATATTGATTTCATTAAAATATTAATGATAAATAATTAACGTTAAATTTTAAATTTATATTTTAATGTTAATTTTGTTTAGATATTAAAATAATGAAAATATAAGATAAACACTAATTTAAAATCACGAATTTAAATAAATGAAAGTTTCAATTCATAAATTTACCATGATAAAAAAGTGTAACGACCTGCTATAGTTTCTACACTTAGTGGAATCACACTATTATTAGTGAACTAAGAAAAATATTAAAATTGGACAACTCATACATATAGACACATATATATATATATATGAGAAAATAATTGAACTTCTATGTACAAAATATAACATCATATATGTACAGTCATCCTAAAATAACATTACCCTAGTGTCGGTCAAGCACACACAAAACAATTACCCAGCACGGTAACTCTAACACGAGGACAAAACTCCCCGTCTCGCAGCGATCACCTCAACTCCAAGTTAGCCCTGACCGGCTCCCATACAAGTATGATTATCGCAGTCCATCCACATGGAAATAAAAGGGTAAACTAGAGCTCAAAAATCAATCATACAAGTATAGAACAAAATCTATACTACACATTTATCCAATCAAGTCCCAAAGGAACTCTCATCTCAATCAATCATCAATTCATCAAACATGAAATCACACCACACACTTCATCATAACATCAATCATGCAATAACTTGCAACTCATGAGAGATATCAATGCATATCAATCATCTAATGCGTCGTCATGCATACACCTAGGAGATCTCCCTAACAGCAAAGTAGTGTAAATGACATCTCAATCCTACCGAAACGACCCCAACCGTTTTCACGCCCAAAGCGTCCGCTCGATCACAGCTAAACAGGATAAAAATCCTCACTCGGGTTTACTCGGATGATGTCAATTACACAATTGGAAGTCCGGATCCACCGTAAGGTATAATACAGCTAGGTACAGGCTTACCACGACCTTGGCATGCATTACCAAGTCACTTGTGGAGTTCGCCCACTGACTATCCACAAGGATCCACGTACCTACTTGGTTAAGGGAATAACCTTCGACCTCATACTCCGCTCCAAATTTTAAAAATATAATTTTAAGAATAAGACAATGATAAGAGAATTTATAATATTGTATTAAAAATTTCAGAATATTACAGATCTAACTCCCATGGTGACTAACAGTAATGTGTGATAAGTATGATTAAAATGAATATAACATTATTAAGAATCTGGTGCCATTAGTTCAATCATTAGCAGACCCAAGTCCCAAGTGTTAAAGAAGGGATGCAAATGCACCTCCTCTTATATATGTTTATGTAAAGTTTTATTCTAATTTGTCACTATTTTGTCAAAATGTGACTCTATTTTGCTACTCTTTTGTCAAATTTTGTCTGGCATATTTCTTACTTTTGTTCTAGAAGTAGTTTTTTTTTTAACTTTATGCTCTATTTAACTAGACATTTCATTCACATTTTATTTCTTTATATGATCATGCTAATTATTAATATTTATTTTTTAATACAAATTGTTTCCACTAAACGATGATCCTAGATCCGCCACTGGGTTCAATTAATTTAATAGTTCAAGAATCGAACAAAAATATGTCAAGTTAACTATCTAGTTTGTCTAAACCATTTAAAACACTAATATATTCAAATTTATTTTATTTATATACTATAGAGTCAAAAGTTCAATATCAAACAAAGTTTCTAGTTAGCAGAATAATATTAATTTTTAAAATACATTGGTAAATGATATAAAAATTATGATTATTATCATTTCATTTCGTAATGATTTGAAAATCCATCACCAATCTAAATACCTGTTTGGATGTTTGGAACAAATACCGAAAGTACGTTAGTATTGGCATTAAAATCCTTTCAAACCTACGTTCAAAGTAACAACTACTTGCTTTTTAATTTTATGTTTTGAAAAGTGAAAATTTTCGTTTACATCATACCAAACGATTTTTCAAACAAAGTTTAAAAGGTTATTGGATTTGTTGGAGTATAGCTGCGTGAGGAGAAGTGATCTACGTGTACGGAGAGCAGAGGGAGAGTTTCAGAGAAGATGAGATCGAGGGTGAGGATGAGGATGAGTGAGATATAATGAAAAGGGTTTCCATTTCAACCAGGACTCCAGGAGGATAAATGATAATGATAAAGCTGTTATTTTCTTCCTCAAGGTTGAGTGAGGCATGTCTTTTCTGTGTTTTGCTACTAGACACGACCCTTTTAAATTTTAATTACCAGAAAACTGAGTAAAAATGTTTCAACAGCTAAAGCCTTAAGGGTTCACTATAGCATAAAAATATATATATTTTTTTTTCTGGAGAAATTAAGAAAGTTCAGATCAAGCAGGGACAATTGAAGAAGACCACAATCAAAATTGAACAGTCAAACTTCCAATTTCCAAGTATTCATTTAAACGCTATTTGATTTCACTTACGAAAACACAATCCTTGATTCTAGTTCTTTGAACTAACCTTCTATATCAGTTATAGAAAAGGTTAAAGTTACAGCAAAATAATTAACATGACAAGAAGGCATCATCTATATTCCTCTGGCAACCGGTAACCTGGCATGACTATTTTATCTGCCAACATTTTGCCCGTCTTCGGCATAACATGCCAATGCATGGTTAGGTTATATTCTTTGCCACGCAAATTGCTACCCTGGACAAGAAAAAATAGAAAAATTAAGGCCTAAAGAAATATGAAGCAAATCAAATTAGCCATAAAACATCCTTTGAGAGTTGTGTACCTGGTCAATGAATCGGTACTTATTTGATGTATGAATCCAAAACTTTGCATGCTCTTTATTGGGAATGATGCCATCCCATAGAGATATCTGTAAAATGGCGTTTCAAGAACCTAAGCAACATACTGATACAACATAATAAACTAAAGAGGCAGAGATGCAGCATATTATCCAAACGCAAAGCTATCTGAGTGACATGAATAGTGTAAACAAACTCCGAAACCACTGGCTCACCGATGAAAATTCAAGATCCATATTACTATGGCTTCCTTTTATTCTCTCCTTTATAAAAAGAAACTGGCAAACTTACAATTTAAATATTTATATTTCAAATGTAGAAGCAAACAAACTAATCAACTCATACCTGATTCAAGGAATTCTTAGGAGTTTCATACTCAGCAGCTAGAAAAACAAAAACCTGCAACCATACAAAATGACACAAAACTAAGTCCCTGAACAGCCCTGAAACTCTAGCTTACAAAATGTTTAGAATAATAATTTATCAGAAATAAGGATCTCATGGATAAGTAAAATTAAGCAGCTCCAACATTTCACAGAAATACAATTTTGTAGACAAAAAAAATATGAAAGATCAAGAATAGAAATATATATTTCATGAAATGAAACAAGATATAACAATAGAAAAGGCAATTTAAACACTACGACACGTATTATGGAGGGAGACATAGAAAAGAAAACAAACATGCATTTGGTTAGGATTATTTTCAAAAGAAATAAAATATTTTTTTTTCTCCAAAAGCTATCTCTCAGAGGGTTTACTTTTCCAAAACATTAAAATAAATTCAACTAGGTCGATAATATGACAAGACATGCATAATTTATCAACTGTCATTCTTCCCCATTTTATGATTCCTATCATGAGCATCATTACTTTTCAGAGGTAAAGAGAGAAGAGACAAAAAAAATTAATGAAAATTCCAAATTAAAGTCAAGAACCTGTTTTGTGTTCCATGTGAAAAGAGACTGCAAATCTGCTGAAATATTCAATGTCATGCTCACCTGAAAGAATAGGAAGTCTTTCACTTCAGTTTAAATAATGAATAAAGATGACATTTGAATATCAGATAACGAGATTACAACATGGCTGGTTTATGAAACAAAATGACATCCAAATCATAATATCACATGCATTATGCAGTTCTTATGTATAAAGCACTGATACATCTACAGAATGTCGTGTTACAATGTTCAACATGTTATGGCCAACACTCCATTGTGTCACAATTAATTTTTATTTTTCTTAGCCACCTCTCCACAGAATGTCATGTCAACGTGTCCGACATGTTTCGGACATGACACTTGTTAGACATGGCTTTACTTTACATGTGTTTGACACTCCATTGTGTCACAAATTTTATTTTGTTTGGTCACCTCTCCAATTCTACTTTAACATCTTTCTGACACAATTAAAACTCGAACTAAGAGAGTGAGCCGGTTTATGTTCTTAGTTAAACACTTATCAAACACTTCTATTATAAAAAATAAAATAAAAAAATTAAACTCAACTTATTTATAAATATTGCAAAGCTCATAACATTCATAACATTTTTCTTATTTGTCGTAAAGCTCATTTTTATAAGAATTACTCAACATTTCAACTTTTAAGAGATATGATTCATCTTGTAAGGGTTATTATCATATAAAAATTGTAAAACTTGTATAAAAATGATATGTCCTGTGTCCTACTTTTTGGACATTATATGTGTCCAGGTGTCCGTGTCCTATTGGTGCTTCATAGGTTCTCACAGCATGTGCTGAGAAATAGAGCATCAAACATGTATGTAGTGCATAATATGGTAAAAGCTAGATATTTTTCTAAGCAAATAGTACAATATATTTATAATTTTCGCCGTGCTAGGCCAGTTTAAAATAGCTTTCTATTGACTATAACTATCATGATGTTTCCAATTACTACACACTATATGTTCTTGAATGGTTTCAAGCACTCATAAATAACCCATCAAGTATATGAAACAATTTCATTGGAAAATCTACAAAATCGGGAGAAATTTGGTGACTTAATAACTAGTTCTTCATCAAATACACATTCATTTGGACAGAAACATAAATTGAGAAGAATTCATTAAACAAGGTCTAAGTCATAAAATCTCAATTTCGGTGTAGGTAACAAGGCAGTGATGCAGTTGTTAATTATTTATACTCTTGAATATAAGTATGCTAAGATTTAGAAATTTCATTTGACCCTGCCAGTCATCAAGATCACATATGTTAATCATTTCACTATCCCAGTAATCACAAAAAGAAAAGTCACTATCTTAAGTTTGTACACATTTTAGCAATCCATAACATTTGGCTGAATCAAATGAGAACAAAACCTACCACTACCAGGATTTAATGAGAAAAGAGTCAAACAGTAATAACATCCTTTGGTAAAACTCTCCAACTAACAGTACGGACCTAATAAGATTTATGAGCGAGAGGACTACATAGACGAAAAAATGATCTTAAAGCAAAAACAAATTGATTAAACTTGTGCAAGGTTTCGTTCTTGCCATTGTTTCATAAGTAATTCCATGTTATGCATAATGCTGAAAGACAAGTTGATAATACACATGACCATAAGTAATTCAATTTGATCGCAATCCATGAACCAACAAAAACTCGGGCGTTGAAGCAAACAGGATCCTAAATCTGAAGGAGATTGGAGAGAAGAAAGGGAATATTAACGAGTCCTGCAAGCAGCGAACTGTTTGAGTAGGAAAAGAAAGGAAGAGGAAAAACCTCGTCGTTGGCCTTGGGCTGTTTTTGAAACCAGTTGATGTTCAACACCTACATATCCATCAAATTCGGATTAAGATAAGTGAGTAAAAGGGGTTAGCGAATTGGAGATCCGTAAAAGGAGCTGACCTGGACATGCGCAGAGGGAGAGGGGGAGTTGAAGTTGTCGGATAGAGAGGCCATGCCGCACATAAGGGCCAGAATCGTTACGGCAAAGGTCACCAACGCGTTGGCTCTATAGCCGAACGAATGCATTTTGTTTCTTCTTTGATTAATGAAAGGAGAGGGGTTAATTTAAGAGCAAGAGACTGGTGCTAGACTAGACTAGACTACCATTTCTCCTGTCCACCGCCCCTTTTCGTAGCTTTAGTGGAAATGTGTTTTTTTTTTTTTATTGAATCCGACTTTTCTGAATATTCGAGTAACATATTGTACCTTCATTTCATAACGATCAAAACTACGCCTGAGCATTAAACCAACACCCGAACCGAACCCGAAAAACTCGATAAAAAATATTGTTTTTGGGTGGGTTTGGGCGGGTCTTATGGGTAAATCGGGTTAAAATTTTGATTTTATACGGATTATATTGGGCGGGTTCGGTTTTGAATTTTTAAACCCGCCAAAAACCGAACCCAACCGAAAATGAGATAAGTTTAAATTTTTATTACTTTTGTATAACTAAATAACAATGGTCCAAACTTAAAAGTCTTTATTTCAAGTATAATATAGTCATCAATTTGTAACTTATTTTTTTCCTTTTTCTCATAACTTAGATATTTATTTTGTCTTCTCCTTCCTCATTCAACTTCTCAACACACTAGTCCATTTTTAGAGTTATCTTTTTGCTTCTTTCTTTGTCTTTCTTTTCCATCTTCTTATCTCCATTTTGAGTACATTTTGTGTGACTGTGATTTCTTATGATTTTGTAATCTAACTTTATATTTCTTTTCCATGTAACAACTATGAATTTTGTTATCTTTTATTTTTGCTTCTTTAGTTTGTAAATGTTTCAACTACGAATCTACTTACACCATCTATTGTCACCTTCATTCTATTTTTATACACTATTTTAAAAATATTTTTTATCGTTTTAAGCTTCATCTTCCTTAAGATAAATTGGTTTACAAAAAAATTCAAACCCGATTATACCCACCCGCTTAAATCCGAATCCGTTTCAACCCGAACCGTCTCAAATCAAAAGCTCAGTCGGTCGGATATGGGTCACATTTTTTCAAAGTCGGTTTACAATAGGTTGGACATTTTTCACCCGAACCCGACCAAACCCACCCGTTGCTCACCCTAAAAACCCCTACCAGACTCAGCTTCATTTCATAGATAATATTTCCTTTCTCATGGTAGATAAACTTTAAAGCATTAATGAGATCTATGTCCAATTTCCATCACTACATTACCTAAAAAATTTAAATTTCATTTGCTCCGGTGTGTCATAGCATCAAAGCTTATTGGAAGTACATGGATGTTGCATAAACAAATTACTCGTGGAGGAACATGACGCGTTTAATAGTCTTTTTTGAAGAAAAACCAAAATTTCCATAACTTAATACCGAAAAACACCATAGGTTTTAAACATTCTTGCTTCGATGTTGTGCAGGTCATCTCAATGCTTGATACCCAGACCCTGTGCTATGTCGGCCATAGTAAAATTGGACAAGGAGGATTGTTTCATTATCCGCCAATAAACAATTAAATATATGATAACTTTCGATGCCAACTCCCAAGCCAACGATTAAAATAAAACCATCAGTCAATGATAACGGCAGCGAGTATTTAACCAATAAAAAACGTGTAGTCACTGACTAGGCATTTACAGCGAAAGCTAATTTTTAACTATTTTCATTATATTTTCTTACACTTACCTACAAGTGACAAAAATGATCGTTATAGAGAAATTTCTGAAATAGAATAGATGAGCACAAGAATGCGGCCCCAAATAATGCACATCCTTGGAAATTCTTCAGAAACTAATAATTTCCCTATCAAAGGACCCTAACCCCCTACGTAGTTTTACCCTAGTTTCACAAAATTTACTAGTCAGATTCCGGAAGTAAAATGTCAATCCCTCTTCATGGCTTTGGATAAAATGGCTCTCGCGGTTGCTATTGCAAGGTATGCGAAGATTGTCAGAGTGATTCCCCCAAGCAGAACAAGACGATCATAAGAAGCATTTTGGACTGTGTAGACCCGAATACCTATTGAATTCCAGTTGCTCTCTGTCCAGATGGGGTCCGCAACCCCCATTTTGTCAGAGGAATTAGGGGGTAAAACATTCCACACTCCCGATTCAAATTTTAGCCGTGTTGAATATGCTGGAACATACCTGTAACGTAAATTACAGCACATTCATTTAGTCATTCATTCATGTCAAGCCAACAAGAAGCGCGTTACATGGACAGTGGAACCTGGCATATAAATAAATACTTTGTGCTGTCTACCCATATGAGCATACTTAAAAGGTGCCAATTGTGATGTAAAGTTTAAAAATGGTATACATTTAGAACACAATGAGACAAGTGAATGACACCACCTCTTTGGAGTATCCAAACTGAGTAGGGTAATCTACATTGATACCTAGTGTGGTGAAGATGTATGTGAATATGTAAACCTGTTGGAGTACCTCTGATGTGGGTCTGTCAAAAGCTAAGTGAAGTAACTTAAAAAATAATTTTCACACGTTCTAATGGATGCAGAACATAAAAACAAATTTTAAAGGAGCTTTTAAGCTAAAACTACTAAATAACATTCAACTTTTTTCCTTTGAACTCTTATTTTAAGCTAACTTTAAAGTAGCTTAAGTCATAAAAAAGTTGAACCAAACATAACCTTTGAATAAGGAAATACCTCGTTGTAGAGAGAACACAAACTCCCTTGCCATCAGCCTCTGCTTTGATGCAAACTTCATCCCTACCTTTGCAACCTTGTTGACAACCTGAGATGTTATTCTCCCTCGGGATAGAAGTTCTGTCAGACAGAAAATTCCAGATGAACCTGGGAACATCATTGATGTATCCTGTAAATGGCGTAGAAGAAGGTTCGTCCAAGATAACACCAACATAATGGCTTGGACAGGATGACATGGGTGAAATATATTTCTTCACCAATTCGCAAGAAAGACCAGGATCACAGTCCAACAAGCAACCCATAAGTTGTTTAACAAGGGAGGCATTAACATTTATAGAAGCCAAAGTTGAATCTTGTACATCTTCAATTTCACTAGCAAGCATGTAAAGGGTTCGGGCAATAAGAGAAGCAGCAGCAACTACAGCTGATGAATTTACATTTGCTGCATTAATCATATAAAAATAAGAATGCATGTGAAAAAAAAGCAGCCATCAAAATTTAGGACAAGTCAAGCAAGAAAAAGAAAATAATGCCAACAGCATGGACTAGCTCACATAAATCATCAAGATGACTATGGTAGAACTTGTTGACAAAGGCAGAGTCAAAATCTTCAAGGACAAGACCAGAGATTGAAGGATTCTGATCAAAAGAGGGAAAGAACAAACGAAAATATTAATGGCCAATGGAAATTTTTTGAATTATAAGTCAATATATAGATGAAGTTATTCAACACAGTATGTTTGCAAAAGCAGCCAATTTATGCCAATATGAATGATGTAATACATGGCATATAAATAATAGGGTCAACTGCATCTTTCACCTAATTTATTGAAGTATTTGCAGAGTTCTCATAACCTTGTTGATTAGAGCATGTTATTGAATCTGTCCACAGTACCAGCCCACCATTTAAATATAAGGTTAACACTTAGGAATACAACTGAATGTTCACATGTCTAATATCATCATGTCATATACATGATTATACTGAATGTTCATGTATCCCAATAAGGACAATCTGTGAGCTTATATCTAATTATTTTCAAGAAAATGTGCAGAAATCTTGGTATATTATAAATAGAAAAGGTGACTCAATTGACATTTAATGATATCTAATGTAAGAAAGCATAACAAGAACCATGAGATCCAGAAGGTTCCTTAGAACTTCTGAAACACTATATTCACAAATTTAGCTGAACTTACCATGTCCTTTTCTTATGAAGAATTTCACCAATGTAGTTTACAAATCTGAATATTTAAAACGTTCATTTTTAAGAAAACACCACTAGTTACAATTTATAAAGGACTAATATTCTGGTAACTACTGCTGTGCTTCCTAGCCAGCTCTTTTCACAACATCATTATTAGGGGGAAGAGAAAAAAAGTGTACTATCTATCCGGCACCTTTTCCAAAAATGTCATTAAAGAGGATGGAGGTATCCCAGGATTTGAGGCACTTGCAGAAGCTATCTTTATGTTTTCAGATGGCAGCGACTCCTGTGCACGTTTCAAGGCAACCAATGTCTGATTTGTGGCAGAAGAATCCTGCATTGATGAAGTGTTAGTCATAAGCAGATTTGGCATGATCCTCTAATTCTGGTAGTGCATAACTGCATACACAGAAATTATGAAACATAATCCACAGTATCCGTTTAACATTGCCAAATTTTCTATAAGAGCCATGAATGTGCACGTAGTTGACAGATCAATCAAGATCTCACCCCTTCTGTATGAGCAAAAAAGTTTTTAACACCTTGACTGAGACCCTTTCCAACAGAACCAATTTCAATGACCTGTGAAACACCAGCCAGGAAAGAATAATTTAGGTTGTTAGCAGAAAAAAAGAATCTAGTAGAGGCATTTTTAAACAGTCTAGCTTATAAATTTAAATGCAGCACATAATGCACATTAGATTCCCAGCCAATACTACCCAGCAGTCGCATTTACTAGGAAGAAAAGAAATACCGTTTCTATTAATGTATGATTAAGGCCACGAACAGCATCTGAGTGCATGTCAAGTTCTTCCAAGAATCTCCTACTTCCAAGGTAACCCCATGCCTCTCCAGTGAAAACTGCAAAAACAAGCTGCATTGAGATCAAGAAACTATTAGCAAAAAGTTAAGACTAGTAGAAATAACTTAGTAAAGTACTTGGTTCTTGAGCATTAACAGATTTTTAAAAGCAACCCTGGAAGTTTGAAAGTATACAGCACCAAACAATAGGAACTTTAATGTGTAGATGTGATAAATCCTATACAACTACTCCTCTACCCCACCCTATGGGATGGTAAGAATAAACACCATAAGTTTCCAGCTACTAGTGTAATTAGTGCACTCCCACCCAATGTTGTTAAAATCAAGACTCTACCTAGGATCAGGAGTGGGATAAAAAATCATAACTTGGATTGTAAGATCCTAAGTTCCTCTATCTAAAATATTTGTCTAAACTTAATTACTATTATTCATTAATTTATTATATCATATAATGCTTTAATTTATTATTATATTATATATTGTGTTTTAAATAGTTTATTATACTTTTAATATTGTTATATTGTTTATAGTTGTTATTCTTCAATTTATTATTTATATATATATATATATAAGCTAATCTGGGCACAAATTGAGGCCTAACAAATAAAACAAGAAAGAGAAATCAGAGAAAAATGTTAGGCCCAATTCCTCCAAAAACCCAAAGACAATTAGTGTATCTAACGAGTGAATAAGTGGCTGCTGTTGAGAATGCACAACTGCAACCCTAACACAAGTGAGAGAGACCCAAGTCCTGAATGTGACAGTGACATGCGATCCATCTTTGACAGCAGCAACGCGAGCCAAACATGACAGTAGCGACTGAAATGCAAGGATGACAATGACAACAACCCGTTGGTAGACGTGTGAGGTGGAGCTCTATGTGTTGTGAAGGAGAGGTCCAGGGGCACATGATTCAGAGGTCTGAGAAGAGTCACTAGTGGTAGTGAACTTGCTCTCGAAGGAAAAAGAAAATGGGATTTGTCTGCCTCGCTGGGATCAACAATTGCTCGATTGAACATGGTAAATTGCATTCCCACTACGATCTCACTGACCCGCGATTTTGAGTATGATCTAACTCAGTAAGGGGTGCTTGACTCGTAAAATCATACAATCCTACAAGGTTGATCGCGATTTTAACAACCTAGCTCCCACCAACAAAATATAACCCCAATCTTGTCAGAAATGGGAAGGATAGTAGCTAATTATCTCGTATGCATGAAAAAGATCACCAGTAATTAAGATATTGACCCATCTGGATAATTTCTCCCACAAAAAGATCTTCATGTAAAGAAAAGGCCAAAGACATACAAGGAAAGTTCAATAAACTCACAGCTAAATGACAATGAACAAATTCAAGTTACACTTATGTGGACCAAAAACTGAAATGAAAAATAAAGGTAAAAACCCATGGACCATCTTTGAACACACCTGTTTACTAAGGTCACCAAGACCATCCACATAAGAAAGCGCATCAACAGCTGCCAGTAAAGCAATTAAACCCTGTAAAATAGTCAATACATAAGGATGTTATTTGCTTTAGGGACAACTAAATATCATAAAGAAACACAATTTGGCCAGAAAGAAAGAATTTTAGTAGATGCACTTGCACTTACAGAAATAGGGGAGTCTGCACCAAGGCTTTTGTCCCGAAAAAATGAAGCAGAATCCATAGATGCCACTGTCAATAAAATGGGCTTAGGCTGTTGTAATGATGAAATGTTGATCGGAGGAAGAGATGACCAGACACTGCCTTCCATATGAAACATGCACAAAATTAACATCAAATATAATGTAAAATTATATTTTGTCTGCAAAATAAGAAGGGAAAGATATTGATACATCTTTCACATAGATCCAGGACAGCCCATTTCCACTGTGGGAACCATGTGAAGCTTAACCTTTTGCATTTTGATGATAGTACCAATCCATCTAATCTCATGAGGGATACCATATTCACAAAGGCAGTTTGCTCCATGCTTTTTTCCAGTAAATAAACACACCTTTCTTATAGCAATATAAACTCATAGCTGATCATATTTTATATATGTCAATATTCTAGTTTAGCAGCATTTATAGAGTAGAGTCCGAGAAACTTCACCTGTATCCACCTAAAGGAAGGCAAGTTGCTTCTTTTAAACAAGACTCTGAATCATGTGTTCCAGATTTCACTGTCTAATTGAAGATAAAAATAAAAAATAAAAACAAATAATGAAAGATTTTTCTTCATAAGCTAGATAATAACAATTCTTTACAAGAATCTGAAATCATACCTGCATCACCAGATCAAACTCAGCCACCTTAGAAGTATAAGCTTTCTTTTTGTCCTCATTCTTTGCTACAAACTGTACAAACAGAAAAGAGAATTAATCTACTTTACATACAGAATAATAAAATTCATATCAGAGCATTACAACATTAATGCCAATGAAATTAACATTATCACTAAAAATTATGTAGATTTGTGTAGGTTACTCTCTATCTATCTCTCTATCTCTCTCGCTCTCTCTCTCTCTCTCAATATGTGTGTGTGTGTGTGAATTAACATAAAAATAAAACAACCAAGCCTTTATTTACTAGGTGCAGTTGGCTATGTGGATTCATTAACTGACTTACTGACTACAATATCAAAGTACAAGGAACCAACACCAGTATTTTGCATGTATAAGAGCATGAAAAGTTGAAAACACCAAGCAATACCTCTTGAAGAGTCTTTGAGCCACTTTCTGTGAGTAAAAATACAGGAAAACCGTAGGATTTCCACATAATACCAGAACCCTGCATGAGACAAAAAATAACACAAATATATTAATCATTCTAAAAATTGATTGTGTTGTTTTCAGACTGAAATAGCATAAGCCAATATCCAACAAATAATTAGTAATATCCGAGACATGCTTGATCTATTAATTTGTTTAATTAATAATGGCTCTATATTTCACTGGATTTTAACAATGTACATCCATCAAATTAAGAACTTCATAAAAAAACAGGATGTAATCTGAACTACATTCTGTAAAAAATGATCAAATTAAAGTTGGAAAGTGTTTATTTGTAACAAGAAAGGATAAAAAGAATAGGACAAATAATTGATGCCATCATAAGCTATAAATACGCCAAGAAACTTGATGAAAAAGGACAGTTCATATCGTACAATTGGATTCCATTCATAGCTGGTATTATAGTAAGGAGCGAATTGAGCTTGCGGAAACTTCTGATCCGGAGAGAATCCTACACGTAACCAAAATAAAACGTTATCACAGACATGTTTATTTCAAATAGACAGTGAGAAAAATCAATGACGTTTACCCTTTAAGTTATTCTGCAAATCAATTCTTGGTTCAACGAGTACACCGCCAACTTTACTAGCAATGCTAGAGTCATCTGATATTCTGAAGGGAAAATACAAATTCAGAAAACAAACACAGTTTGACGAACCACAAATGAATACACGGTATTAACAACCAACATCACTTAAAAATAACTAAGCAAGGACAACAGTAGTTCCCGGAAGCAAAGTTACAAAGATTCCATAACTTTCAGTTAAACTTAAATGCAATAAATCTTAGCATCTCTTAAAACATAATCGTTGAAATATGATACCTAGTAAAGAGAGTTGGAAATTCATCGAGTGACACCAATATAGCAGATGGCTCTGCTAGTTTGTCAACATTTTCAAACCTTACAATTGGAGCCACAACCTTATCTCGTCCAGGATCTAAGAATTCGAAAACAATAAAATCAGAGAAAAAATTCACCAGCTTAAAAATAATCCTCATCAATTAAGTTGCAATTAATCCATAAAATCGCAATTAAACGAAAAGGTGCGCGAGAGAAAATGTGAGAATGAGAATGAGAGTGAGGCTCACTTGAACAACCGATGCTTCCAGAGAGATTCAGCAGCCGCACACAAGGATAACCATCGACGGCAGCGTACATGGTGTTCTGAAGATCGGGAACTGATTCCATGGAGCTGGATTGTCCTGTAAGAAGAAAAGGCGATCAGTGAGAAATGACAGTTGAAAAAGATTTAGCAGGAAATCGCGAATCAAAAGTTGAAGTCAACAAGGTACCAGAGAAGCAGGAGGGAAGGTGAAAGGTGAATAGGAGGAAGAAGAGAGAGAGAACGTTTAGCGCCATGGATGAATAAACCCTAGCGAGAATGGCGCATGTGCAGAGAGTGTGGGTTTTCTTCTACTCCTTCTTCCCAGCTTCGTTCCTCTCTGATTCTGAATTGGTAGGATTATGAGATTTCATAAAGATCAAAAGCATCGTACGGTTTTGATTCAGCTTCCAAATGAGGACTGCTTTGGCTTTAGTTGGGTCCACTGCCCTGATTGATCAAAATTCAACCGAAAATTTAATAATTATTGGATCATTTTTGTTATAAATTGGTAAGGGAAAATACTTGCACTAAAAATTAATTTGTTCGCTTAAACATGTTTTTTCTTAATCAAAATATAACATTTTGGCATTATTTCTTAGTCATTTGTTGAGTCTCCTATAGACATGTAGTTAATCTCGAAGGAAAATAAACTAATTACTTAAGAGATGGATGATGTCATAAAAATAGTTCACTAAATTGTAATTCATAAAAAATTTAATTAACGTATGTTAATATAGTGATAAATTCGTATATAAATTATATTATACAGTGTAAAACTATTAATATCGTGATAAATTTATATCTAAATTATATTATATCTTGGTATTAATTTTTTTTAATTTAAATAACGACATCCAAAAAAAATATGTTATAAGATTCAAGCTTTAGTTATAAATCTTCTTCTTTTGTTTGAGTAGAATTTTTTTTTTCTTCAATGAATGACTCCGAACTTTTTATATATATTATATTATAGATTATTAGAATTCCTAATTAATATCAATGTATTAGTTTAATTTACACATATCGTTCGACCATTTTAATTTTCATTATTCTTTTTCTCCAGATCATGACAATCAATCCGATTAATTTGATTATTTTAGTGTGGCTTCGGCACTTGAATATCATAATAAACTTTTCAGCGTTGTGTTCAACTTAAAAATATCTCTCACATTCAACTACTTTTGCATTTCGAAGAATAAATTTCTCAAGAAATTTAAGTTTTAACTTTTTCTTTTTTTTGTTTTAAATTACTGGTAGGTGAGTGACGCTCATACAGTCATACTACATTGCAAATTTTTTTTATCAAACATATTTTCTATTAACATGGAAAGGCGATTTTTTTTAGGATTTAATAATCATAAACTATAAAAGTTTTAACTATTTAATCATCTATATAACATTTGTGTTGAGTCGTGGCTAAAACAAGCCAATAAGTTATAAGACCATTGTCCAAGGCCCAAACCAACACTTCTTTTATATTTTTAAATTATTAATTTAATTTAAATAATTATTAATATATTTTATTATAGTATTTATAGTTAATTTATTATTATATTTATATAAATATTATTATAATATTATTAATTTGAAAAGTTTTATTATGATTTAAAAATATATATTACAACTACTTTGAATATCAATAAAAATAAAATAAAGAAGTTTCATAAAAATAGTATAACTTATACAAAAAAATATATACAAAAAATGAGAAAATAAGATGATAATTTCATAAAAACACTCTGTTAAAAATTAATTCTTTCTGTTCTCCTAAAAAAAATATTTATTTGGTTTTGATTATTTTGTATAAATATCAAATTATTTTATTTTATTCTACTCGTTACTTATTTTAAAATATAAAGTTACTTTAATTTTTTTTATTTAAAATTTATATTTTAGTCAATACAATACATAGACTAAATATTTATTATATATAATTAAAATTTATAATAAATTATATATAAAAATAAATATTATGTTTAAATATATAAATCATAATTAATATTTATATAAATAGATATTGTTAAACATATAAATTATATTTTATATTTATGATAAATAACTTATATTGTAACACGATATCTTTCTAATTTATTGATAATTTATTTTTAAAATAATAAAATTTAATTCATAAATGATTATATAATTAAAAATCAAATTAAAAAAAAGTTAGAAAAATCTCTTAAAATTCTTTTGTCAAAGAAAAATCCCTAAAGTTACTCTTGCATAAGATAGAAACTCATGTTTATTATATAAGAATTGATTTTCATAAATAATTATTTTATTAATTTTATATTAATATTTGTGACTTTTTTCTAGATTAAAATTAAATAAAAAAACCATATTTATAAAACAAATGAGTGTTTCATTAAAAGTATTTAACTATATTAAAAATTTACATTTATTGAATATTATAAATAATATTTGTAATTATTGCCATTATTGTTTTTTAAAATATTTTATATTTAATCTAAGATTAAGTTGTAAAATAATGATTGAGTGAGATGTTAAAATTTCTTAATTAACAATTTTATTTATTTTAAATTAAAAAATATAATAAAAATTGATTATTTATACGAAATTAAAACTTAAATAAGATTTTTGTTTTAGGCCTAAAATTTGTCAGCGATCTTACTTATGTTGAATCTTGATAGAAAATAAAATATTACTTATTACTCTTATATTTATATATAGAATTGTCAATTTGGACTTAACTCAATGAGCTGACTTGACCAACCTGCAAATATGATCTATTTAAACCTTAAAAATGATAACTTAAATAGAATCAAATAATTTTAGCCGAGTTTGTTAAGTCCAATAGGCTAAATAACCTTATTTTGGGCTACCCAAAAGTTTAGAGACTAACTCGTTAAACTAATAAAGAAAATAATATAAATTATCGTCATTGTCAATCAGTAAATTTATAATGTATTATAAAATAATATAATAATAGTAGTAATAGTCTTTCACTTTTTTGTGTTCGCTTACAAAATTGTGGTTATAATCTTACAATTATGGTTAACTATTGTGAGAGTTTCTTCACTCCTGTTTTAGTACTAATCATTTAAGACATCATATTATTAAATGTATTGGATCTCCTACGTACTAAAATATTGGGTCATATTGGATAACAAAGTTAGTATACTTAAGCAGTGAAAATTTGATCCTAAGACTTATAGTGACGCACTTGTTAAGTGTATTATCAAGCATGATCTTCGATGTAATTATGCTAACTTTTAAGGAGTTTGGGTAGTGAATAAAATTTTAAATTTTGATTTGAAATCCAATTGTAAAAACAAGTTAACAGTTGATCGTAATAAAGTATATTTATCTGAACATGAAAAACTAATGAATGTGTTAACTGCTATTACATATAGAATATGATTGACTTCTGATGTATGAACACCTGTAACTACCTAAGCTTATATGATTGTGATTGACTGATTGTTCATTTAGGAGATGCAAAGTAAAGTTAGCCTATTAAGAAAAAGGTTAGGCAACCTACCACGTTGAAAAAATTGATTGATAGCCGAAACAAAGGCAAAAAGAAGCATGTTGACATTGACATGGAGATAGGACTTATTTATGGGCCAACTAAACAACGATTCCACAACTTTGTAGCCTTGACTGGGAGAAGCAACAATGTGATTAAGAGCACGAAGAACCATATACAATAAAGTATCATGATATGAAACATTAATTTTGTAGATATAATGATTGTTAATTAATTATTGAAAATCAATAGTACAATAGATACAACTGTTAAGATTTCTATTTGCGATTTCTTAATTTTGTATGAATATGATATGTACAATGTTTAAGTGGAGTAATAAAAAATATTGATAATTTTTTTATAAATTTATTTATATTGTTGATAATATATATATATATATATTAATTTTTTTATTATATTATATATATAAATAAGTTAGTCTATTAAATTTAACATATTTTTTTTTATAAGTTTAAATTTAACTTTTTTAAATAAATAAACTTTATTAAAAATTTAAATTTGACTTTTTTTTATTAAATACATGATATGAAATCAAATTTTAAAAAAATTAAATCATAAACTTATAATTTTTCATTCTTATGTACACATTAGTTAATTAATTAAAGTTTTTTTTTTGTAAAAGAAATATCATAAAGATACAGTGATTTAATGATTTAATAATTTTAATTCTATAAATTAGAAGCGTGGGTATCTAAATTATATTGCCATATCAACAAATATCTCAATAAAGATCATTATAGAAAATTTCAATTACTAGTTACATTACTATTGTATCAAGAAAGATCTTTCGTGAAGTCAGGATATACGCAATGAATCACACACAACTGTCACATAACATTTCCATTCCTTTGATAGTAATTTATACGAGGATTCTGTTATAAAGTGAAAGTCTACTGTATTTATATTTATAAATAATTAAGATCTGTCATAAAATTAAATTATTATAAAATAAAAATTTAAATTTTATTATAATATTAATTATTAATTTTTTATTTGATAATTATTATTGCAATTTAATAATAAGTGCATTTTTTTTCATATCAGAAGAATCCTTTATAAGAATATTAATCTTGATTCTCTTTAAAGTCAGGTTTACATTACTTTTTTTTTTCCTTCCCATTTACTAATTATATTCCATTTTATAAGTTGGAGGATTCGTCATATTTGAGGAACATACAATGCATTTAATACATCTTATCAAGAATCTTGTACCTTTATATAATCATATCATATTATCATAAAAGGAAGTAAAATGTGTCGTTTATTACCATATAGTAACATCAAATAATAATAGAATTAGGTTAACTTCTATTTTTGTTCTTTATTTTTTTAATTTATAATTTTAATTCCTTTATTTTAAAATAAAGATTATTTTTATAAATACAAAATTATGATTTTATTATCAATTTAATATTCGATAATCATTAATTTTTAACGTTATCTACTGATTTATTACTATTAAAAAAATATATAATTTAGTGATATAAAAATCAAAAAATAACATATAAAAGATTTATATTTATATTTATTTTTATGAGTAATTAATATTTATTTCATTAATAAAAAAATTATTTGCATTTTTTATTCCTAAATGTCATTTTAATAAATGAAACATCACCTAAGTATGAATTAATAATTAGTAATTGTCAATTTGACAAAAATTAAAATTTTGTATTTATAAAATTAGAGAGATTAAATATTTATATTTTAAAATAAGAAAAAAAATTATAAATTAATAAAAATAGAGAGATAAAAATGTAATTTAGCCATAAAATTATAACCTACCATTTTATAAATGAGAATACGTTTTCACAATGCACTCCAATTCTATTCATAATTCACACTTATATTACTTATTATACCGTTTGAATATCTTAGTAAGAAATATATTTTGTATCTTCCATTGATGGAAGAGCACTTAAACTTAACATATCATTGTCATTAAACATATATTTGATATTGAATGGCTCGTGTCAATGTTGAGAAGAGTGACTTAATGTAAAATAACTTTGGTGGTCTCAATAACTTTTCTATATATATATAAAAGAGTTCATTGCTTGAACAAGAAAAGCACAACAAACAACATTTCCAATTTTTCATATTTGGCATAGTGTTTTCTTTAGCAGCATGACAAGAAAGAAGGTGAAGTTGGCATTCATAGCCAACGACTCAGCTAGGAAGGCAACATTCAAGAAAAGGAAGAAGGGTCTAATGAAGAAGGTGAGTGAACTTAGCACCCTTTGTGGCATTGATGCATGTGCTATAGTTTATAGTCCCTATGACCCTCAACCCGAGGTTTGGCCATCCCCAATGGGAGTTCAAAGGGTGCTTTCCAAGTTCAGGAGAATGCCTGAATTGGAGCAAAGCAAGAAGATGGTGAACCAAGAGAGTTTTCTGAGGCAGAGGATCCTAAAGGCCAAAGACCAGTTGAAGAAACAAAGGAAGGACAATAGGGAAAAGGAGATGACTCAGCTCATGTTTCAGTACCTTAGTGCAGGTAAAATCATGCACAACATAAGCATGGTTGACTTGAATGATCTTGCATGGTTGATTGACCAGAACTTGAAGGACATCAACAGAAGGATTGAAGTGTTGACCAAGAATAATGGTCAAAGTCAAACACAAGTTGCACCACCAGTGGTGACTGATGTTGTTGCCAAGATTGAAGACAAGGCACAAGGGAGTAGTATTCATCATGGACAAGGGTTTGATATCAACATGGATCTCATGCACAAGCAAAACTGGTTTATGAATTTGATGAATAGTGGTGGAGGTGGTGGGAACGAGGCAATGCCTTTTGGTGATGTTAATAATCACCAAAATGGCTTTTGGCCTAATCCCTTTTTCCATTGAAAATTGTCACGTGTTTGGTTTGATGTTTATTTGGACGTGAAAAATAAGTGACCACGGATTCATGGTTTTGGAGTTGCGTGTTTGTTTTTGTTTCATCACTTTGTATATATCTTTTTAAGAATGTTTACTTTCAAAAAGGGTTGTTGAATAGAATAAATATTCTTCTGGTGTGTCTGTTTATATTTGAAGATTTGATATTCACTAAAATGATGAAACAATATTGTAGAAAAGGAAGTGCGTTTCCATTGTGTAAAAATCTATGTTAAAAAGAGTCAGAAAAAATCTTTATCCGTGCATTAGTTTATAGTTTCTTATCACTTACGAAAAATCACCACCTTGCATAAGGCTGGGCTTTACATGTTTAGCAGAAACTAAAATTGAAATTCAGAAATAGATGGCTTCAAAGTTGTAGAATTGAAATTCTTAATCATTTCATGACGATATCACACTAGAGTTGTGCTCACGACCATATATACTTCCATCTACCTTTAATTGTCACCACCACCTTCATTTCGTAAATATATTTGTTTTTATAAAAATTAAGTGATAATCAAATGCACGTTTAATAATTTGTTTCGAAAATTTTGATTTTAAGAGAAAATGGTTTATTAAAAATGAAAAATTCTTTTACCAAAACATTACATAAATGTTAATATGGATATCTTTCCACGTATTTATGGAGTTAGTACATACCTACGGTAAATAAAAGAAAATGTAATTCAATGAAGGATCAAACGTCACATTCACATACCAATACATTACTTCTATGTTAAAGACTTAGATTATGTCAATTTACCTATTAAATGCATATTTAGTTGATTTTACACACACATATCTTAGAGTTACAAGAAATATAAAATTAACATTCATATTTTTCATTCATGCTCTTGATAGGGAGAAAAAAAATAATTATATATATATATATATATATATCACAAAATAACAAATGAACAAAATATCTAAATCTATACATCAATATATATAACTAGTATTTTAACTTGTACAATACATGAGATAATGTTTATAATATGGTTCTCAAAAGTAAATACTTTTGAATATTTAAATTATATTATTAAAAATTATAATAAATAATTTTTTAACAAATACATCATGTTTTATATTTATTAAAATAATTTATGTAATAATACAAAGTTATTTTGAATTAATGATATTTATAAAAATATTAATATTAATTAAATTTAATATTAAAAATAAAAGAGATAAATTAAAATATGAGAGGTTGAGAAAATTTCTAAAAACATTGTAATTAAAGAAAACTAACTAAAAGCGCTCTTGTTAAAAAATATTCTCTAAAAATCCTTTTGTTCAATATAATTATTTTAATTTATAAAAAAGATGTTTTTTTTAATAATTATTAATTAAAGAATATATGAATACGCTTTTAACAGGATACACGGTAATAATTTGACAAAATTAACTGTGATAATTGACAATCATATAATTGTGATATTCCATATTAAATAAAATTAATTTTCTTTATCAAAAGTTAATGAGAGATAAGTATTATTAGAACATAAGATGCATTATATTTTCAAAGGTTATGTTTTAATAATAATAAATAAATATTTTTTAAATATGAAAGATCATATACTTAAAGATGAAAGTTTTCATAAGAAACTATATATAAAGAAAATGTTTATGGAATAGACGATGTGTATTGTCTCAATTAAGACAATTGCCTTAAATATGATCATTATTGTTTATGTTTCTTCAACCATTTGTTTTATTGTCTTTTTTAAAATAATAAGATGTGTATTATTGTTTATGTTTATTGAATGTATGATATGATAAGTTGATAGCTAGCAACGTCGAATTTACAGTACGTACAAGAATTAGCAACAGTGTTTCTTATTATGTATGAATAAGACACACTCTGCATTCTATCGATTCTCTTCTTATATCGCAGGTCTAACATGGAGAAGAGGTCATATCCTCAATTATTTTTCCAGAAGTCACTTCTCCATTTTAGATTCATGTCCTTTGTTAGATGAGAAGAGACAACAATCTAATACTTTGGATACACATGATTTTAATTTTGTAACTAGTATCTTTTATTTTATATGTCCTATAATTTTATCAATAAAAAACAATATTTAGCTTTAAATTATCGCTAAATTCATATGCTGGTATTTTTTATTTAATTAGTTTAATTTTGTTCTTTTGTTATTAAAAAGTTTAATTTCATCTCTTAAATTTTAAAAGTAATATAATATTCTCTTTTCCATTTAATTGTGACTAATGATGTACACCTGGTAAAAGAAAAAATGATGCAAACAAATTTACCATAAGAGTTATGGTCAGGGGTTAAAAAAAAAAAGTTGTAAATAGAAATAGCAGTGGTTAAGAAGACAGTTCTTTAGCTTTCTATATATTTCAGATTTTCTCACAAATCTTATTGATCACATAGAAATAGTTGTCATTTTGCAACAATACATAACTTTTTACAGATAGAAAGAGATCAGAGGGATAGACCACCATCAAGCAGCGTGACAATATATACCCTGGCAATTGGACTTGCTTTGCGATTAAGACATAAGACCATTAAGGTCTAAATAAGCTAAAAGAAAGCAAGAATTTTGTAAGTTTATACATATCTGGAAATTGTGAGTTAATCTAAGATAAATGGTTAAATCTTACCTTTGCAATCCAGACTGCGAACGTTTGCTGCAACAAAAAACAAAAAAGAGAAAAAGATAAAATAGAAGTTAAGAGTAAGTTCAACATTTTAGTAACTTCAATTTTGTTGGTCAAATATTCTTTATTATGTTGCATACCTTGTGCCTTGTCTTTTGACACTCTGTTGCTTCTTGGACACCGGTTGTTGTTGAGGTTCATGACTTGGAACAGTTATAGTCTTCACCTGTGATATTGACATATCAAAGGTGGGAGTCATTCGCATTGCATGACATTAATTGTTCTGTTTATGTTTCTAAAGACTAAATATGTTGACTTACCAAATTCTTGAACATAAGATTGTAGAACATTTTAATGTATCTTTGCTTTGCCTCTTTTTGTTCATTATTCACCCGCCTCCAAAAGGTATAAATGCTCCCCATATTCAACATCTTATTGGCATAGATCTCCCATGTATAGCTACAAAACAAAGCCATGAAAAGGGAATATCAATTGTGTGTTCTAGCAATGTATTATAAGTTCTGTAATAGATCTAAATGTTAAAAAACAATGGTCCTAGTCTGAAGCTATGAAATTGAAGTTGCATTTGAACCATTCATTTATGCGCTGCAATCCAGCTGCTGAAATTCCATTCCAATGTGTCGAATCTTCTAAGCATTTCTCAAAGAAATCAGCAATTTTATTGCTTGATTCTTCTCCATTGTGGGGATCAATGTGAAAGCCAGAGATCCCATCAACAATGATTTCTGCTGGTCCTCCTTGATTGGTAGCAAAAGTAGGCAAGCCACAGTTCATAGCTTCAATGACAGTGAGACCAAATGCTTCATATAAAGCAGGCTGCACAAAAGCTCCCTTTGTGTCAGCAATAAAGCGGTAGAGCTCTCCATTGCGATGTCTATCAGTTTGTGCTGCAATCCATCTGAATTGTCCCTTGAGTTGGTACTTTTCTATCAAATCATGCATCTTCCTTATCTCTGCCATTTCCTCTCTGTCCTTGGATTTCAAAGGGTCAAAGAAGCCTCCAACTATGACAAGGTTCACCATGTTTCTCAATCTTTGGTTCTTCCCATACCACTCAACTAATCCGGTTAAGTTCTTCACAACATCAAGCCTTGCCATTGAGAAGATGATGGGTTTTCTTCTGTTTTCTAGATATCCACTGTTTCAATGGTATATTCAAGAGAGAAATTTAACTATTCGGATAAATATAGTAATTCTTATCTGAACATTAACCTCAAAAAAGTAGCAACTATTTCACTTACATATGCTCATTGGTATCCACTTGACCATACAATAGGTCTTCAATGGCAGGATGAAATTGAGTGAGTCTTTTTTCTTTGTCTTTATAAGGAAAATAGACTGACTGATCAGCTCCAGGTGCAGCTATGTTGAACTTGGGATCAAATACATTTATCCCTGAAATAACTCTACACAGTCCTGGGAGTGTAAATGCAGCATGACTTTCGTATTGTCCTGGTCTATCTTTGCTGCAAACAAGAACTTTCTGAAGTTAATACCATAAAACTTCTATTGATCTTTCTTTATTTATATTAATTTTCTTGTTTCTCTCGATTCGGATGTGGTACTGTTTGATAATATGCAAGTGAATTTCTTGAGTGTGCTGGACGAAATTCCAATTTCCGAGTAATAAGAGAAAGGAAGTTAAAAATATTTTTTTCTTTTAATATGACATCTACCTTCCAGCAATTTCCTGATAGGTACTAGTTATGATGAAATCCGATGCATTCATTGCAATTGTATCGGCCATGAATTGACATGAGAAGTGATACTTGGGATCTAATTCTTTCCACTTGATATCTGAATCTTCATACTTGGTCTTCTCTAAAGCATGTGCGATAGTTCCCTGGTTTTCCAAGCGATTTGACCAATTAATTTATACAGCAAAACAGACATCCTTACGGTCACAAAAGTTGGTGAATAGAGGATATTTTTAAAATTGGGTAGTAACCTGAGTCATCTTAAGCTTGTTAGCCATAAGAGATGCCACCAAATTTCCATCAGTGTAGTTTCCAATAATAAGATCTGGTTTTCCTTCCATAAGGTTGAGAATCTTGGCTGTCGCATCCTGTTAACAAGAACTATATACTGATCAAATGGAAAGTTTATTACACGTAAAAGCTTAGCTACCAATTACTTTATAGTTTGTAACACATATACATACCTGAGTAAACCTCTCAAGATAAGGATAAATGTCAAAGCGAGAAACCCATTGACGCAAGATTCCTTTATCTGTGCGAAAAGGAACACGTAGAATGTTGGAGTATTTGGTATCAATAATTGGCTCTAACTCCTGATTGCATTTGGTTCCTTGAGCATCAGGGATGAGCCTTGTGACCTGTCATGGCCAATAATGTACTTGCATTATTCTATTAAAAAACAGGTTATGCATAGAATGGACT